ATTGCTCAGACCTTTGAGTTAGGAGTTGGGATGTCACATTGAGGTTGTATAGGATGTTGGTGAGGTCTCTTCTGGAGTACTGTGCGCAGTTCTGGTCACCCAGTCATAGGAAAGGTATTAAACTGGAGAGGGTTCAGAGAAAATTTGCCAGGATGTTGCCAGGAAGGTTTGGGATATAAAAATAGGCTGAATGAGCTGGGATTTTTTTTTCACTGGAACGCAGGAAGTTGATGGGTCACTTTATTGAGGTTTATAAAATCATGAGGGGCTCAAATAAGGTGAATGACAAAGGGTCTTTTCCCTAAGGTGGGGGGCATTCAAATCTAGGGGCCATATTTTTAAGGTGAGACGAAAGAGATTTAAAAAGAATACAAGGGGCAACTGTTTTTGCACAGAGAGTGGTTCATGTGTGGAATGAACTGTCAATGAAAGTGATGAAAGCAGGTACAGTTAAAACATTTAAATAAATTCATGAATAGGAACATTTTGGAGCAATACAGGTCAAGCGCAGGTAGGTGCGAATAGTTTAATTTGGGGTTATGGTCAGCATGGACTGGTTGGCCCTACCATCAAGCCTACCCCAGCTCAGAACCTCCATCTCCCAGACCTGCAAAGGAATAGCCTACTGAACCGGATCATCCCAAATGGACTGCAATCCACATTCAGGCCATTCCAATTTGGCCCTGACTGCAACAAACTCTACATACACAACATCCAGATCCTCCAAAAAAGCCCACGCTCTCAGCAAAGCACTGGCATCTTCCGGCCCTATAATCAAGCCTACCCCCAGCTCAGATCCTTCCTCTCCCAGTCCTGCATAGGAATACCGATATCTATTTCAAGCCCATTGACTCCCACAGCTACCTCCTCTACACCTCCTCTCACCCACCTTCCTGCATGGATGTGATCCCCTATTCCCAATTCCTTCGCCTCTGCTGCGTCTGCTCCCAAGATGAGGCATTCCACTCCCGTACATCCCAGATATCGTCTTATTTCAAGGACCGCAACTTCCCCCCTTCGGTGATCGAAAATGCTCTTGACCGTATCTCTTGCATTTCCCGCACCTCTGCCCTCACATCCCCTCCCCACGACAAAAACAAAGACAGAATCCCCCTTGTCCTCCCATATCATTCCACTAATCTCTGTATTCAACGTATCATTCTCCACCACTTCCGCCACCTGCAATCTGACCCCATTACGAAGGATATATTTCCCTCCCCACCCCATCTGCCTTCTGTAGGGACCGCTCTCTCCGCGACTCCTTCGTCCGCTCCACACTTCCCACAAGCCCCACCACCCCCTCCTCCTTTCCCAGCAACCGCAGGAAGTACTACACCTGCCCCTACATTACCCGCCTCACCTCCATCCCAGGCACCAAAAAAACCTTCCACATCAGACAGAGGTTCACCTGCACATCTGTCAGTGTGGTTTATTGCATCTGCTGCTTCCAATGTGGCCTCATGTACAACAGTGAGACCAAGCAGAGGCTCGGAGACCGCTTTGTATAGCGCCTGTGCTCTGTTCGCAACAAACGACAACACCTTCCAGTTGAGAATCATTTCAACTCCCCCTCCAACTCCCTGGGCAACATGTCCATATCCTGGGCCTCCTCCAGTGTCACAACGACGCCACCCGGAAACTGGAGGAGCAGCACCTCATATTCTGCTTCGGGAGGCTACATCCCAACGGTCTTAATGTGGACTTTGACAGTTTCAAAATCTCCCCACCCCTGGCCTCATCCCATGACCAACCCTCTCTCTCATCTCCGCCTCCTTGACCTGACACAACCTGTCCATCTTCTCTCCCGCCTATTCGCCCCTCACACCTCACTGACCAATCCCCACCACTGCCTACCTGCACTCACCTATTACCATCCCACCCACCTTCCCCAGCCACAACCCTCCTCTCTCTATTTACTTCAGAGCTCCCTTCCCCCTCCTCCATTTCTGAAGAAGGGTCCCGACCAGAAACATCAACTCTCCTGCTCCTCTGATGCTGCCTGGCCTGCTGTGTTCCTCCAGCTCCACACTGTGTTATCTCTGACTCCAGCATCGGCAGTTCTTACTATCACTGGTTGGACTGAAGGGACTGTTTCCATGTTGTATGACTTGATGACTCTGAACACTGCGGAGTACTTTGAACATTCCCCATGCACTTAATTTTTAAGTGTCCCTCAACAGGTCACACTTCTTGCAGCAGAGACGTATTTGACCCTGCATGTAGCTGGTTCTGGTTCTTGTCCTGTTATGTTTAGTCTTTGCTGGACAGAGGGCTATTGGAACAGGGAATCTATGTCACAAGTAGCTTCTGAAGCTGAAATTATAACATCAATTTAAAGGTAAGGCAACAGTTGGCAAGGTTGAATTTAGAGGTTGCATAGAATAAAGGCTGAATTATTTTATGGAGTTAGGAAAACTCAGCAGTCCTGTAAAAATGGCAGCGGGGACCCAGATGCAGATATCACATCCTATTTCCAACAGATTAAATTCTAACTGGCCAGGTTTTCAGGAGGAAAATTAAAATTCAGCAGGGCCTTTTATTCCGCTGTACTTGAACTGATTAAATATTTGTATTGGCTATAGGGTAACTATCGATGCCTTTCTGCATCTCTAACACTGGTTCCCACTGTAGTAAAGTGGAAGATGACTGATCAGGGTTCAGAAATTAGACTGGACTCAGAAACCCTGCCCCTTGAAGAAAAACCAGTGCAGAGTCCTCACTGTGGGACAGAGAATAATCCCTTCTGCACTAACAATGGTTTGATGTGATACCCTGGATTTCCTATAGTTTTTGTGTCCTTTGTGACCCAAGTGCCAGTGTGAATGGCATTACATATAACAGAAGCCACCGGTATCAATATCCTGGGGTTACTGACCAGAAACTGAATTAGTCCAAGAGCAGGTCAGAGACTGGAAATACCACAGTGAGTAACTCACCTCCTGACTCCCCAAAGCCTGTCCACCATCTACAAGGCACAAGTCAGGAGCATGATGGAGTTCTCCCCACTTGCCTAGATGAGTGCAACTTCAACAAAACTGAATGAGTTTAACACTATCCAGGACGAAGTAGCCCAATTGACTGGCACCACATGCATCAGCTTCAACATTCACACCCTTCACTATGATGAATAGTAGGAGGAGAGTGTATTATCTATAAGATGCACTGCAGAATTTCACCAAAGATGCTGTGGCAGCGTCTTCTAAACTCACAACCATTTCCATCCAGAAGAAAGAGGGCAGCAGATACACGGGAACACCATCACCTGCAAGTTCCCCTCCAAGCCACTCACCATCCTGACTTGGAAATATATCACTGTTCCTTCAGCGTCACTGGGTCACAATACAGGAACTGCCTTCCTGCACTGTGGGTGCCTCTACACCACACAAACTGCAATGGTTCATGGAAACTCATCGCCATCTTTACCAGAGCAATTAGGGATGGGCAACAAATGTTGGCCTTGGCAGTGAGGTCAACATCTCATGAATGACATTTTTTTTTTAAAAAATATACAAAGTTGGTGGAAAAGGGAAAAAAAAACAAACCCTGTCACAAGAAATCACAGGCCAGCCAAGTATTGTGGAGTCCTCATCCTCCCAAACACCAGCAAATATTCATTTCTGAACCTGGATTGGAACAAAGTATTTAACAGGTGATCAGATTAACTATGGGGAAAAATGTCAGTAAATATCCCAGCTCTCCTCTATCCTCCCTGATAACAGCCTCAACTCTCTCGATACACACACACACACACACACACACACGAGTATGCAAATGAGAAGCAGGAGCCAATCAGTCCCTTGGGGTTGTTCTGCAATTCGAAAGGAACATGACTGTTCTGATTGTGGCTCCAACTCTGCTTTTATGTTCATCTATGATACCCTTTCATTCCCTTGTCAATCATAAACCTGTATAGCCTGTATTAAAGTGATCTCGCCTCCATTGCTCTCTAGAGAAGAGAATTTCACAGTCTTAAGTGGAAGAAGAAGTTAATAATATAGAGTTGTTGGTTGGTTTGCCAAGCTGCGTGGTTTTCATGCAAGCGTTTCATCTCCTTCTAGGTGACATCATCATGGACCTTATAAATTCAGAGTGGGACAGAACAACAGCGCTTCAACGGAGGCTACACAGCACTGACAATGTCACCTAGAAAGGAGACAAAATGTTTGCATGAAAACCAGTCAGCTCAGCGAACCAACCAACAACTCCAACCGCAACCCAAGCTACAGATCTTTGTTAAAACAGTTAATAATATTTAATAAGATATAGGGGCAGAAGTAGGACATTCAGCCCATCGAGGCTGCTCTGCCATGCAATGAGATTATGGCTGATCTGATAACCCTCAACTCCACTTTCCTGTCATTTCCCCTAACCCTTAATTCCCCTACTGAATAACCCCTAATTTTTAAACTGTGACCCCTAGTTTTAACCTCTCCCAAAAGGGGAAACAGCAGCTCATCACTCACCTTGTCAGGCCCCCTTTGAGCTCACTAAGATTATGTCTCGATAAGATTATCTCCCATTCTTCTAAACTCCAATGGCTCAGCCTGTCCAACATTTCCTCCTAAGATAATCAGTTCATCCCAAGATTCAGCTAAATGAACTTTCTCTGAACTATTTCCAATGTGATTACATCCTCTCTTCAATGACAAGACCAAAACTGTACACAGTACTCCTGGTGTGTTCTCACTAGTTCCTTGTCCAACTGGACCAAACCATCCCTACTTTGATATTCAATTCCCTTTGCAATGAAGAACAACACTTCATTTGCCTTTCTAAGCACTTGCTGCAGCATCATTATAAAGATTTGTGATTCATGTACCAGAACATCCAGATCCCTCTGTACCTCGGACTTCTGCAGTTTCTCCACAAGTTCTATGCTCCCACATGCAGTCAATCACATGACCCAAGTCAGTCTGAGCTGAAGCACTAAGCAGACAGTTTACTTATATTAAAAAAATGAATTTGGGCTGTGAAAGCTAATGAAAAATTACATACTGTACCATTCAGTTTTCCCCATCCAGTGACCACACATGTGTAATTATCTGGTAGTTCTTCCCCTGCTGCAGGGAGACAGGTTAGTCTAATCTTGTCAGTGAAAACGACTGGCCAGGAGAGCTTTAATAAAGCTAAATCAAACCTACAAAAGAATGATGCACAGCTTACTATCAAATTTAAAGTTCTATTTTTATTGAAATTGAATATGACAATAAAGCTGGAGATTATAATTCACTGTACAAAGGTCAGACGCCTATTGGCAAGAGCTATTAAAATAGAATGTCTCTCAAAGCAAGGTTTTATTGAGTATCACCCCAAGCATAAATCTACACCACCTAGAGAGACAAGCAGGTTTATAGGAACACCATCACCTTTAGTACTTATCTGCCTATAGAATACTTTTACATTCTGTACCATGTTAGCTGCCAGTATTTTCTCATACTCTCTCTTATTACCTTCTACACTTCACCTATGAAGTTTCTAATTTTAAGCCTGCTTCTCACTTGTACTATCAAACTGACATCTGTAACCTATTCTTTCTTGGCTTCATCTTACTCTGAGTAGGATTTTCCTCTCCCTGGAGGTGGTGAGGGAAGTGGCACAAAGGGGAAAATTACTGGGTGAGTCAGCTCTGGTAAGATACTCACTCTCTTCTCGCCACCTCACTAATTATGTGTTGGATGAAGAGATCGATGGCTGACCCTCTTAACCCATCACCAAATAAAGCTCTTGAGTGATAAATTAATGGTCACACATTGGCCTCATCTCGCCACCTTCCTGATTACCCAGCTCCCTAATGATGAGAAAGGTGGCTAGTTTCCTAGGAATCCAGGTTGACGCACCTACTGGGTTATTGGGGGTGTCCTCCAATTACTCCAGTCTGGGGGCAATTGGAGGGACTGAAAGTGGGCTTGGCAAGGAGTTGACCTCTGAAAGCCTGCCTGGACGAACAAAACCAGAACTCTCTGGATAGTGCCAGATAATACTCTGGATAGAGTATTTGTGGATTGGGAGGCGGGGCATTAGAATTTGGTGTTTGTAAAATATTGGCGTTTGTAAAATGCTAAGGGGGAAAGCAGTGCATGGACCCTTTAAAAGACGATGTGCTTTTTCTATGCTCAGAGATTTTAAAAAGTCTGTGAGCAGCTTGAAAGTCTGCAAGTACAGAGAGCACCTGAATTGAAACATTTGTATCTAAAGGCTGTACAGTTAGCAGGCCAAACACCAGTTTTGTTTTGATACCAAGGCTAGTTTTGAATTTAGTCAAACAATTTAAACCAGGCTCTTAGATACCAAAAACCAATTAAATTTAAACCTGATGGTTTTGACAACATAGGACCAATTCTATTGTAAGAAATTGATATGTCATCAAGGATATAAATGAAGAAGGCGGTTGGGCAAAGGCAGAAGAACTAACTGCCACCTGCCAGAGTTAACAGCTCTCAGCTCTCAAGAAAGAATCGTTGGGTCTCACAGGCTTCTCTAAGTCTTAGAGAAACCACCATCTAAGAAAAACCAAAGGTACCCGTGGCACAACTAGTTAATATTACTGACAGAAAGATTGACAGAGGAGGCACAGAGGATTCTGGAAGACACAATCTTGCTGTAATTTTGAAAGAATAAATTTTATTTTTTTTTAATTTTATATAAGTGGGACTCATATTTATTAGAACAGCATACCATTAGAATTTTTTTTTAAACTCAGAAATAGTTAGTAGATAGAAGGGGTTTATTTGGTTTGTTAATAATTTAGTTGATTTGGTTTGTTAATAATTTAGTTGATTTGTTCACTGTTAGAATTAGATAAATAAATTGTTTTACTTGTTGATTGTAAAAGTGAGTGTCGGGGTTTATTTTATTTAACTACTGGAAGTTGCTGAAAGGCAACTCAACTTTTTAAACAGTTTATGGGGTAAAGTGCTCCTCTTTGGGTGTTTCAGTTTTAGTTCTCAGAGGGGAGGTCAACCTCCACTTAATAACAAATGTTTGCACTTCCCTGCAAACTAATGTATGGAGAAGATCATATGTGGAACTGCCTGCTCTGAAGTCACATTGTGCCTCCTATTTGGTGGGCTTGAGGATAGACCATCATTAGACTGACTCTGAAAAATGTAAAGACAATGTCATTTTATTTTCCTGTGTTTTTAATTGTGGACTGAAATAAGAAGCTGCTGATTCCAGCAGTAATTGAAGTATAGTGTGCAGACGAGCTGGAGCCAAAGGGTAATGTACAAATGGAGATTCATTTGGCAATAGTTGGTTAGTCTGTGGAGCATTGATTAGTTATCAATTGCAAAGAGCTTCCACCTGCCAACAACAATGTGATTGGTTCGCAGGTAGCTTATCAGCATGGAGCTATGAACAAGATAAGGAGATGCCATCAAATCTTCACTCAGCCTTGGACCTGTCTGTTCTCTGCAGTAAAAACTACTTTAAATCTGAAGAAATCCAGGTTTCCCTTAGCTGTGACATTTAATTAATAAATCAGAGACTTCTAAAAGTGTGAACCAGTCACCCATGCTTCCTGTAAACTAGTGAAAACATCTGGAGAAGAGAGACTGAGAAGCAATGTTCTGACCAACACAAGACTCATTTCAACAACTCTGCAAAGAGGAACCACTAAACTGCCTTCCTGGTCTTTCCTACCATCCATAATACATGTGTGACTGTATGTATGCGTGCAAGTGTATGAGTATGTGTTTGGTAGTTCATAACGGGATTAGAGTTTTAATTAGTGGTTATATGATAATGGTTCATAGTTGGTTACTGATAACTAGAGTCCAATTAATAGTAATAAATAATAACTTTTATTAAGTGTAGAATTCTGGTCCATGCTTTCTGTCAACCTATGTCTAAAAAGACAACCAAATTGAGGAATTCTGCATATTTTTTAAAATATTTAATTTTTGTGATGATTCCAGGGATAATGGGGTTCAATTTCCAGTGTGCCACCCCAGTGAGGGGTAACTCAAAGGCCTTCAGAGTGACACTGAGGATCGAGATGCCTCAGTCATTGCTGTAATCCTCTCTATCACCTTTGTTCTTGTACAAGGTGAAAATTGTTTGCCATCATGCACATCCTGTAGGGCACAATCTCCTCTCCAGCAGAGGAAATGGTGCTTTGTGACCAAAGATAAGCTGAACAATCTTAAGTGTACCTTTCCACTGAAGTAATCAACCAACAAGAAACACATGCCTTCAATTTTGTGACTGCATAAACATGGCATGTGGTAAGCGAGGTTGTTTTCCTGGTGGATTTGGAGCAAGTACTTTCTTGTATGTAGAGCTTTGTTCAACTACAAGGGAGGAGACAATGAAGAGCAAAGGGGCTTAACTGACTGAGGAAGGGAGAGAGGCTTCAGTCTTTTCATGTCGCAGGGAAGATAGAGGGACGAAGCCGGACTGTAGAAGAAATTCCAGAAGACAATAAGTGAAGCATGATTGTGGGAGATCAAGGGCTATATGGAAAGGCCAGAAGTGAAATCCTGAGTTGAGGGTAATAAATGAAAGGTCAAGGGTGACAGATGATGGATGACAGATTGAGTGGAACTATGCGGCAGTTCTACCGTGTTGGGGAAATGTCAATGGAATGAGTGTCAAGGGTGTTGGGTAGAAGATCATTCAGGGAAGGTGCAGAGTGGGGGCTCTCAGTTCCTGAGGTCCAGATAACAGTTCAAGATAGGGGCAGCAGCAATTGTGGTTTGCGAAAGCCCCTCAGATATGTAAGAATGATGCTCCTGGCTTTGAGGGAATAAATGCCTGCCCAGATGACCATTAAAGATAATACCTGGACCTTTAACCTCATGAGGCAACGGCAGGAACCCCAAGCCATGTGATGTGTTGTACTTCACGTTTATGAGGATGTAGCTCATTAGTTGCTGTGTGATTGTACATGACCAACCATCCAGCTTACAAGTGGAAAGCAGAAAAACATCCAGAACTGTTACTAATGAACCTCCTCACTTTCAAAAGATTCCAGCCATTGTTTCAAGCTTTTGAGGCAAAAGTGGGCTGGAAGATTCACAGTGACAATCTAATCTTCCTTTCATGAATGAATTCTTCCTTCCCATCAAGAGCTTAAAGTTAGCTTTTTCAGGCCTGTTGGTTTTCAAGAGGTTATGAAAACAAAGTTGTGGTTCCTTGTTCAACAGACTTTTTATCCCAGGCTGTTGTTAGCACAGGAAGCTCCATCTTCAGTTTGTTTCAGAGCTGCCTTGCCTTGCCATTACATCTGTTATGATATTTGCTGTCTTGAGGATAACCACACCTAATATTTGATTAAGCTTGTCTGATCACGGATTCTAGTATAGTGCTTGATTATTTTAGACTTGGTCGGGGGGTGGGGTCAGAGCTCATAATCAATGACTGTTGACTCAGAAAATTCTAGAGAAAGATGAGACATGCTATTCCCAGTTGGGATTATATGTATCTTTTAATCTCTGTAAAATTCTAAGATGTTTTAAGGCATGGAAATAAACTGTTAGAACTTAGAACTAGCACAGTAACTCAGTCCAAATTGAATGAGTTCTACTGCCCTTCCTATTTTCAAAAAGTACTAAAGACTATAAGCAGACATGAAGTGGTATCCAACAAAAGAATGAACAGGGCAAAAGGTTCTGTTGGGTGAGAGGGCCAAACAGATGATAGCAAATCAGAGATAGTAGGAACTGCAGATGCTGGAGAATCCGAGACAACAAGGTGCAGAGCTGGATGACCACAGCAGGCCAAGCAGCATCATAGGAGCAGGAAGGCTGACGTTTTTGCTCCTATGATGCTGCTTGGCCTGCTGTGTTCATCCAGCTCTGCACCTTGTTGTCATGGCAAATCAATGGCTTGTTTTATCCCACATCCATTTTCTTTCCGATTGACAGAGTGTCATTGGCTGTCATTGTCATTTATTTTTCTTGTATTGTTTTCTAGTTGGGCTGCTAAAAAAAAATTACAGGGCCTGCTGAGGTAAAGAAAACATTAGCTTTATTTAAGCAACATTCTTACTGTGGCTTTATGTTGCCACGAGGCTGCAAGGTTTTATAACAATGTATCACTTCCTGTGGTAATATACAGTGTTTTATTTGCATACTGCACATGCAGATTTAACCCCTTATACTACAACATCCCCAGGTCTCCAACTCTACTGTTGTATTAAGGTTTTGTGCTACTTTCAAAGATTATTAACACTCCACGGAAGGCAGGACAGAAGAGCACACCAAAGCAGAAGAAAAGAGTTCACTCCTCTTGTGAATATCATACTGAGTTAAGCCAAGTTAAAAGCTAGAAAGTTAATCAAACATTACAAATTGGTAGAATTCAACAAAACCAAGATCTGCACAATCTAAAGTGAATATCCCATCTGCCTTTGCAGTCTCTGTTTTGTATTGAAAAATTACAATGTACATTTGGTCCACTTGAGGCTACCATACATACATGTACCAGCAAATGCAGTCTGCTCACAAGAGGAATATAGGATATATGTTTAACAACTCATGCAGTTCTACTACTAAAAAGTTTCTGGCAAATTATAGAACTGTTTATGTGCTAAGATTTTCACAGCCTCCAGTCTATCCTGCTGCTTTCTTTTTGTTCCTGTCATGCCTGTATGTATCCATATTCTAAATGTAATGCAAATGAATTTTGAGATAAATTTAAGGTCGAGCATATTTGAGGTCAGGTAATTCCAAATGCTGATTCTGGTTTAAAGGACATGTTCAACATTTGTACAACAAGTAATAATCTCCAAGTGGACACTTAATTCAATGCATGCTGGTACTTACCCACAAGTGATACATTTGGGATTAAACATTGGGTGAGAAATCATTTTGACAGGTTCAATGTATTGTTCTGAACCTTCAGTCAACGTCAAGTCATATTTCCCCAATACAACACGATATTTCATACCTTCGCTTTAAAGAGAAGAAAAGGATATTAATGTTACTCGTGGTAATGCACAGATATGGAGAGGGTCATTCATTGCTACTCTTGTGAAAGGGTGCACACTAATTTTAAAGATGAAAAATAGTTCTAATTCCGGCAGTCATTACTCACTTAATGCATTTCCCAGCAGTCAAGATCCACGTTGGGTCAATGAGGGCCCCTCCACACATATGGGAATATGATATTCCTCTTTTAGCTTGCAGTGAAACCTGGAAGTGACAAACGTGCAATGATGTTTGCAGTATAATACAGTGGCATTTTGCGCACTGACCGTGTCTCTGTCTTCATTTACCTGCCACGGCCAGCTGAATGGTATTACATTGTTACTGTTCTCATTTAAATCAGGTTTGTAGACTGGGTCTCCACAACTGAAGTCAAAAGCATAGGCTGAAAACAAAGAATCAATAGTCAGTGATCAAAACATTACCATCATCTATTCTCACAGAACTCTAAGCATGAGGCTAATGCTAACATATTGCTGCACATAACATTAAGGAAGATAGAAAGACTTGCATTTATGTAGCAACTTCCACATCCTCTAGATGGCCCAAAGTCTCTTGCAGTGAAAGAAGCACTTTCAAAGTATATTGATCATAGTGCAACAAATGCAGCGGACAATTTAGGTAAGGTATTGAGATAAATGAACTAATCACAATAAGATAATCACTGGGTAATCTTCTTAAACGATAATGATTGAAAGACAGATATCGGCCATATCAATGGGGTGAATCCCTCCATTCAGGATCTTTAACACTGCTGCAAAGATCAGACACAAAGTACACTGAACGTCTCACCTAAAAGACAGTAATGTAGCATTTTCTCAGCACTGCACTCAAGCTTTTTTTTGATTAATTACTGAGTGTCACTGGCTGGGCCAGCATTTATTATCCGTCCCTAGCTGCCCTTGAGAAGGTGGTGGTGAGCTGGCTACTTGAACCCGCTGCAGGCCATATAGGTAGATCAACAATGTCCTTAGGGAGGGAATTCCTGGATTTTGACCCAGTGACAGAGAAGGAACAGCGATATATATTTCCAAGTCAGGATGGTGAGTAGTTTGGAGTGGAACTTGAGGGGGTGGTTCTCCCATATGTCTGCTACCCTTGTCCTTCTAGATGAAAGAATTTGAGGGTTACGGAGATGCTGCTTAAGGAGCTTTGGTGAGCTCCCCTCACAAAGATGTGCGGGTTGGGTGGATTGGCCACGCTAAATTGCCCACAGTGTTTGAGTGGGAAATGCTGGGATAGGGTAAGGGGTGTTTCTGGGTGGGTTGCTCTTCAAAGGGTTGTACTCAATGGGCTGAATGGCCTGCTTCCACACTGTAGGAATTTCATGATTCTATGATATCTCCCCACTTCACAAAAAAAGCAAATGTACTTTCAAATTGTAATTCATCAAATAGTCATTGCATCGAGCTAAGAAAATAAAATTAATCATGTTTCTGGATTAATTTACTGCCTGCTTCCCATGCTCCATTCTCTATTGTGAGGCTTCTATACCATGTAGCCCCAGTGGCTAAAGCCTGGAGGTGAAGGTATCATTTCTATAATTGGCCGTGGAGGGTGACACTGAGCAGTTGAGCCCAAAAGGGCCTTTTTTTTTCCCCAGACTGGACTACAGCTAACTGGGCTGGCTGCTTGCGTGGCATGGGTAAGGGTACGGACGGAGTGTTAGGGTGGGAGCAAAGAGACTGTAACCTTGAGAGGGCAAGTGACTCTCTCTTCCCCAGAGCCGTTGCCAGTCTCCTGAGTTGGCATCTCGGAAATCCCAGCGACTTACTGGCAATTGGCTTGTTGGACTGCTGTGCTGCTATTGACGTCGCTTTTAAAAATGGAGGGTAAACACATGGTGGCAGGAGGCAGCTGTTTGCTGGTGATGGAAGCTGTAACAATTAGATGGAATGTAGCTGAAAATTCTTCCAGTCCCTGTACTGGTCCCAGCATCTGATGACATGGAACCTCTCTCTCCTACACCAGTACCTCAATCATGTCTTTACCTTCCTGATCCACTTGTCAGCACAAAGCAAACCAGCCACCCTAAAGTCACTGCACGTAAGCTCTGGCTTTTTAATTTAAATCCAGAACACTCTTCAAGTCCCTTCTATGTCATTGAGACCATGATATCTTCATGGTCTTCATTCTCTTTTTCCAAATTCCTGTCAGATGCAATCAGATATCCATTACCCTGGTACTAGGTGGGTAACAAGTCCTCTGGACTTTTGACAACTAAAAATGATATCTACTCCCTTTAATATCCAATCCTCTTTTTAAAGATGCAAAAAAATTGTCTCCAGTGTAATGATCAATATCTATCCTTTACTCACCATCTCAAAAACTAATTACCTGCTCGTTATCTCAATGTAGTTTGTCTAAAATTTGGCTATTGTGTTTCTTACATTATAAAGCAACTACATTCCAAAAATGCTTCATTGACTGTAAAACGCTTCCAGATTTCCAGTGAATAAGAAAGATGCTTTATAAATGTAAAATTGTTTCTTATTTTGTCCTCCACTCAACCTCTCCCACAGATTTCCATGGCAACCCTTTCATCTCTGTAATATAAAGCAAAGAACTATGGACACTTGAAATCCTAAACAAAACTGAAATTGTTGGAAACTCAGCAGATCTGTGGAGAGAAAGCAGAGTTAATGTTTGGGTCCAGTGAACCTTCCTCAGAACTGCTAATAGCAAGGAAAAGGCAAGATATATGCTTAAGACCGGAGGTGTAGCACTGTTTACTTCCTCCCTCATCATTACCCAAGGCCCTCAAACTCATCTTCCAGGTGAAGCAGAGCTCTACCTGCACTTCAGTCAATCTATGATGTTGAGGTGTCAGTTTTGACTTCATTCACTCAATCTAGTCTTCTGTAATCACTGCTCACAATGTGGTCTCCTCTACACTGGGGAGACAAAGCACAACGTGAGAGACTGCTTTGCAGAACACCTACATTCTATCTGCAAAAGTAACCCTGAACTTCCAGTTGCCTGCCACTTCAATACACCACCCTGTTCCCTGACCAACATTTCTGTCACAGGCTTGCTGTAATGTTTCAGAGAAGCTCAGCACAAGCTGGAAGAACAGCACCCCATTTTCCACTTGAGGACCCTGCAGCCTTCAGGACTCAATGTCAACTTCAATAATTTTACCAATAGTTTTACAATAATGAGTACCTTCTTCCATGTCCATTACCCAACCTCACACGCCAGGCCCTTGTCATCACATGGGTTGCTTTTAGCACAGCCAACCTATTTTCACCTATTTATGGTCCTTATTATCAGTTTTTCTTTCCCTCTGGCTTACCATTATCCATCCTTTTGTCTGTCTAACTGTCGTTCTCTTGCTCTGGGCTCCCTTTCTACCCATCTGTTCACTCCTTTTCCCTCACCACTCCCTGTCATCAGCTTATATCCGACCTTTTCTTGGCTACTGTCAAAAGTGAAGAAGGTTCACTGGACCAAAACATTGATTCTGATTTCTCTCCACAGACACTGGCACCTGCTGAGTTTCTCCAACAATTTCTGTTTTTGTTTCTTTTTTATAGTGTCTAGGGTACCTTTGCAACCATCATTCTTGTAACTTCTGTATTTAATCTCAAGGCAACAAGTTATTGAGGATCTCCTTCACTAGGTCCCCGCACCTTGCCCCCATTCCCTGCTGCCCCTCAGTTATACAATCCTCTGTTTACCATCTGCAATTCTTTACTTGTTGTCTCAGCATTACAGAGTAAAAGGTGCAGACATCCCAATGATCAGAATTCAAAGGGCAGTAAAGAGTCAACCACATTTCTGTGGGTGTGGAGTTACATGTGGGCCAGACTGGGTAAGGACAGCAGATTTCCTTCCCTAAAAGGACATTAGTGAACCACATGAGTTTTTATGACAATTAGTATTGTGTCATGTTGGTGAAATTAGCTTTCAATTTCAGATTTAATAAGTGCATTTTAAAGTCAAGCTGCCTTGGTGGAAATTGAGCCCAGGTCCCCAAAACATTAACAGGCTTTGATTACTTGGCCCTGTGTTATTAACATTCCAGCACCAATCTCCACAATAGTGATAAACCTTTTGAAAATATCAGCTAACTGAAGCAAGATGCAATATTAATGTTTATCTTTGAGATATAATGCAGGAAGAAATTGAAAAGTGTAGTTTCTGACTTACTGCTGGCTATAAGCAGAAAGGTGAGAAGAACTTCTCTCATTTTCCTTCAGTCGAACTGTGAAAACAAAAGAGTCATGTAGATCGACTATTGTTCATTGTTTGTCCACCAGATTCCCGAACCATGCGGGGAACTTCAAAGACCCACCATTGTGAATTACAGACAGACTTTGGCACTTACCTCACAAAAACCTGGTTTCAATTTTACAGGCAGGCACTTTGGACACCATCTCAAAAGCCCAGCTGACTCCTGCGTATGAATAGGTGCACAGGCTCTACTGAACCTATTCCAATTAATGGCAGAGAGGAAGAAATGGCAGCTTTGGCACTGGTGGGCGCCTTTAAGAGAGTTGGTTACAGATTCAAGTTTACTCCCTATCCTGACTTGGAAATGTATTGACATTTCTTCAATATTGCTGCATCAAAATCCTGGAACTCCCTCCCTTATAGCATTATGTTTCCATCCACAGCACATGGACTGCAGTGGTTCAAGAAAGCAACTCACCATCACTTTCTCAACGGCAACTAGGGACAGGCAATAAATGTTGGCCCAGCCAGCAATGCCCACATCTCATGAATAAATTTTAAAGGAGCGTCACTCTGGACTTTTGTGCACAATGACTAATGTTCTAGTACAGCATTGGCCCTTTTTGGGTGAATCACTAAATAGAGGCCGCATTTGCTTTCACTAGTGTACATAAAAGAACTCACATCACTATTTAAAAGAAGAATAGTAGAACTATCCCCAGTGTCCTGGTCAATATCTATCCCTCAGTTCATCACTACCACAGATTATGTGGTCATCTTTATCACACTGCTGTTTGCTATGTGTCAATTCGCTGCCAATTTACTTTTCCCTGAAATGTGAAACAGTGACGATGGTTTAGGTTTTTCAACCAGGAATAGAAATCCCCTCTCAGCTGTGATCAGACAAAATAAAATATACATGCAGCTTCCTGTCAATTTTCTGAGACCTTGTCAGTTGCAGGATCCTTGAAGACTTGCCTCAGTTCAGCAAACTATAGAGGGAGCAGCACAGTGGATCTGAGTTGAAGCCAGGCCCTGCTTTTACAGCACTGGATGGAATACTCCAGTAAATAAAGAGGTTAAATATTTCCAAATGTTCTTTGAAAAACCATGGAGAGAAGGTACGTGTATCAGATATGTATCGTGTAAGGGGAGGGTATGGTGGGTAAAGGGGTTATGGGGTAGGATGGTAGAATGGCAGGGGTGAAGAATTCCTGAAGTTTGTACAGGACGACTGTCTGCTTCTATCCCAACAAAGAATGAAGCAATGCCAGATGTAACTCTACATATGAAGTAAGCAAAGTGGAGTGCATCACTGCGAAGCATTTGGGTAGTAATGATCATAATTAATTTATAATAGTGAAGGAAGAGCATGGAGAAAAATCAAGGGCACAAATGGAAAAGAGTTAACGTCAGTGATTTGAGAACAGATTGAGCACAGGTGAACTGGAAACTAATAATGACCAGGAAAATAATGTTAGGCCTTCCAGACAGAAATAAATCTAGGGCAAACCAAACACATATTTCCAAAAGAAGACAAGATATGGCCTCCAAAGCTATAGGTCCATAGTGACAAAGGAGGGTTAAAATTAGAAAGGAATATTTATGACAAAATACCAGATACAAATTCAATCGTCAGGCAGAATACAATGGATTTTGGGAGATATTGAGAAAGATAGAAGGTCGAAGGGACATTATGAAAGATTAATGGAAAATATAAAAGAGAATCCAACAATCTTTTCTAAGCATATTAAAGGATTAAAGGAATGTTAGTGCCAATGTTATGGAAATAGAAATCTCCTTATGGAGGTGGAGAACAGCTCTAAGGTACTGAATGAATGCTTTACATCTTCCTTATAAAAGAAAAGGATACAATCGCTATCATAATTAACAAGGATGAGGAGTAGGCAGAAATATTGATAGAACTGCTCAAATTAGATGCAAAAACAGAAATTGCTGTAAAAGCTCAGCAGGTCTGACAACATCTGTGGAGAGAAATCAGAGTTAATGTTTCAGGTTGATTGACCCTTTTTCAGAACGAGTTTGACTGGAACATTAACTCTGATTTCTCTCCACAAATGCTGCCAGACCTGCTGAGCTTTTCCAGCAATCGCTGTTTTTATTTCTGATTTACAGCACCCACGGTTCTTTCAGTTTAAATTTGATACATTTTGTCAAAGGTTTTTATCTTGCACTGATGAGGACACATCACATAAATACCAATACAAGGGGAAACCAATACTGTTGTTGTATGAGAGGGGAGAGCTGTGTGAAGAATTACACTTACAATTTAGGATTGACAATCAGGCCCACACTGTGTTGAAAATTTGGGTAGCGGAAGCTATAAATATCAACAAAATAGGATCCTGTCACAGACAAAGAAGATACACTTTGCTCCTCTTTTAACTGAATGAAATAGATGACAATCACAGATTCATTTCTCAGGACAGTGTTTTGACTTCAGTCAACTTGCCTCGTTTAACCTTAAACAAAGGTTGGCAGTGAATTGGCAACTAGTGAATTTTCCATGGCAATGCCTCAACAATCAGGAGCACTTTCCAACCAATCAGCACCCTCCTCTTACATGGTATAAATGTTGGCTTACATCAATATCCTTTTGACTCATGCTGACGAGTGCAAAATTTGACAATGTGTGTCTTTTTCCAACGTTCAATAAATACCCTGTCTGACCTAAAAGGAAAGGTTAATCCTGATTTTAAAAAGACTTCAACTACGATAATGGAATTAAGGCAGAACAGCATCAAAGATGAGATTAATTCTCATTTGTAGGATGATGGATTACTAAGGGACAGTCGACTGTTGATAATATAAACTTTCAAAAGGCATTTGATAAAATACCAACAACACACATATTCAAATAATGGAATAATGTGGAAGTAAAGGGTTGGTGGTAAATTGGCTGAGGGATAGGACACAGAATTGTGCTGTACAGAAAATTTCTGAATGAAGAGAAGTGATACCCCATGAGCTGCTAGAAGAACCATCCATGGCAGTTGGTGGAATTTAAATTCAATCAATTACAATTTGGAATTGAAAGCTAGTCCATGATCAGGACACCATCACTAGATTACTATAATAAAAGTAATCTGTTTCACTAATGTCCTTTAAGGAAGGAGATCTGCCATCCTTGCCTGGACTGACTATATGTGACTCTAGGCCCACAATAATACCGTTGAATCATAAATGTTCTCTGAATTGGCCTAACAAGCCATCGAAAATGAGATCAGAACGCAAGCATTGCCCATCTCAAGCTTTGCGTGTTATTGGTTCCTGACCACATAGGTGTTTTCCTGGTGGAAATATTGAATAAAGACTTATGCACATGGTGTCTTCACTTACATATACACACAACACCAGTACTGTAGGGGGAAAAAAAAAGTGCTACTGCTGTGCAGTGGTAGTGTAGGGGGTAAAAGATATATAAACAGGGGACTTGGAATCTCCTCATTTCAGGCGACTGGCTCTGAGCTGGCTGGCCACAGTTAGTGTACTGTGTACATGTAAATAAAGGGTGACTTGGTGATGGGATACCAGCCTCTGTGAATTTACTTCAGTAAAGTGTGTTATTCCTATATGTCCCATGCCTGACGTTGCTCTCCCACTTGCACACAGATTGTGTGGATGGGCATTAACCTCAATCATTGGCTAAACAGCAAATAAGAAAATAAAGAACATAGGATTAGAATAGTTAGATGGCTGTTTTTGACTAGCACAGACTTGATGGGCCAAAGAGCCCTTTTCTGCACTGTAGACCTCGGTAATTAATAAGCCATCCAGATCAAGAGCAGTTGAGGATGGGAACGAAATACTGACCTTGCCAGGGACGTTAACATTCCACGAAGTAATTCAAGTTTCCTTTTCTGGTTCAGTATAAATGATACGATCATAGAATCCCTACAATGCAGAAAGAGGACATTCAGCCCATCAAGTCAGCACTGACCCTCCGAAGAGCATCCCACCGAGACCTGACCCATCCCCATAACCCCATGGCTAACCCACCTAGCTTGCACATCCCTTGTCTCTACAGGGACGGCATGGACAATCCACCCAACCTGCACATCTTTGGACTGTGGGAGGAAACCGGAGCGCCCGGAGGAAACCCACGCAGACACGGGGAGAATGTCCAAGCTCCACACAGACAGTCACATGAGGCTGGGATCGAACCCAAATACCTGGTGCTGTGAGGCAGCAGTGCTAACCACTGAGTCACCATGCCACCCTGATACCTGGAATAATGCTGTATGAGATTAATGATTGCTGCTCCTGCAAAACTTGGTGCCAAATAAATACTGAACAAAATAGATAAGGTAGATATCAGGAGGATGGTCTAGTGAAAAGGACAGACACACAGTTATGCAACTAAAAGTGAGTCATTATAAAGTGATGCTCTAGGGGAGAACCAATATGAAGAGGCAGTTTCATCTGAGTGGTTTAATTTTGAGATGCAACACAAGAGCTAGGGAACCTGCAGAGGCATATGGACTGCAGCAATTCAAGAAGGCAGCTCATCACCACTTTCATAAGGATAACTTGGGATAGCAGTAAATGCTGGCCAGCCCGCGACACCCATGTTCCACAAGGAAATTTTTTTAAAGTTGCAAAGGTGGTTAAGAAAGCTTATGGGAAACTGACATTCTAAGGGCGGACATTGAATACAAAAGCAAAGAAGTTATGTTAAGGCTTTGCAAATCACTGCTAATACATAATTAGTGCATTGTGACCAATTCTGGGCACCTTTGGACAAAATAGAGATTTCACCAAGATGACCAGAGGGACAATTTGTAGAGATGCTCCTATTATTCCCTTTAGAGCAGGTAAAGATAAATGGAGACAGTGCAGAATTATGCAAAATTTTGATGGGATTTGTAACCACCAGCAGCAAGGAATGGATCCCTTTGGCAATGGTTTAGTCGTAAGGAGTTGCAGACTTAAAGCAATTGACAAAAGAATGAGGGTGGAAAGGAGAAGAATTGTTTCCACACAGGGTTGTTAACTGTGGAGTCTACTTTCTGATGAGGCAATTGTACAAGTTGAAGGGAATTCATTCAGTATTATGCAGAAAGGCTGGGGCACAGGAAAAGCTCTGTAAAAGTACCAGCTCAGATCCAGAAGAACAGATGACCTCCTTCTGTCGTGGAGGCATTTACAGCCCAAATTTCCACTCGCAGGAATTGGAAAACAATCTGCAAATCAACTATAAAATAATTCTAGAAAACTGCTCTCTAGCCCCATCACACCGCCCCCCCCCCATGCATGCCACCTCTTTATAAGGCCCTATTGCCAATTCATAGCAGCCCATGCCTCCCACTCACCACCCTTTGCCTTTTACAATCTTCATGCCAACTCACCTCAGGAACCATGCTGAGATGATATAAATTAAAATTCTAGGTTTGAAATGTTTCTTTTTTTTATACAACTGTGGGCGTGGCAGGGAGGAGGAGAATGCTAGATAGTGACTAACATATCACACCCATCACTGAGGAACATATCCAATCACCTGCCAATCAGCTCATTTAGACCTGACAGGTAAAGGTGGGTAGGTTTCTCAGCAAATCACAGGCCTCAACACTGCCATCCTGTGATGCTAGAAGCTGCTGGCCAATCAGAAACCACAGCTTCTGGGTCCTAAAGTCTGCCACTTGAGGTTTACTTCTCAAGAGAATCAGCAATGAGAAGGTGACTATTTTTAATTTTGTTCTTATGTGATGTGGGTGGGGTCAGGGGACAGAGGTCAGAAGCAATATCAACGGGATGGCTTTCAGAGGCCATTCCCTTGGGTGCCATCTATGCCTTCGATTACACCCAGATTGGGAAAATTGGAAGTTCCCTCCATAATCCAGCAAGTTGGTCAGTTTGGCCACCTTTCTCAATTGCTGGGGTGGGGGGGAGCGCAAGTGACAAGGAGATGGTGAGTTGAAGCCCTTACATGGCCATTAACTGACCACTTAAAGGCCTTAGTAGGTAGGATGTTGATAAATAAAGCTAAATATTTCTGCTTCTAGCCAACCCTATCGCCACCTCCAGGAAGGCTCCAGAATTACATCTCACGTGCTTATTGATGACTTCACTATTTAAAAAACTTCTGTTGATAAAAGCTAATTCATTACATTAAATTATTCAACAATTTAATCCCATATAAAACCAAGTATTTGCAATCACAGGCCCTCAAAGATATTATAACCACTTGGAGCTGCCAAAAAAATTACAATCTGAGAAGCAGCTTGCGGTAATAATGATAGATTGTGAAATTAGTCATGCTGCTCTGGTTAATGTCAATAGACAGAGTGAAAGTAAGATCTGAATTTGTTTTGTACTGCACAATGTTTTTCTTTTAACTGAAAGGGTGGGAGAGTTAAATGCCTTCTCAGTTTGACATTTCCAATGGGTTTAACCACTTCTTAGTTACATTCATGTCTTCTTCTCACAATCAAAAAGCAATCTTGACCTTTCCCAAAGAACACGTGATGGCTCCAAAAGGTAACCCTAAAGGATCTATCTCAATATTCCCTTCAAGCAGTATAAATGGCAAATAAAACCAAGGCCACAGTTTCTTGGCCTTACCAGAAAAGTAAGTGCATTTAAATAGCACTTGTTATGGTCACTGGACAGCTCAATGTGGTTTAAAGTTAACGAAAGATTTTTGAAGTGTAGTCACTGCAGGAGCACAGAGCAGGCGGTGGGCAATTCAGCACACAGCAAGGAACCACAAATTTCAGTGTGAGAATGATCTGATCATTTGGTTTTTGCGATATTGATTGAGAGATAAATATTGGATAGGACACCTCAGCTGTCATAAAGATAGTACTACAGGGTCTTTGACATCCACCAGAATATCTCACTGAAGTACTGACAAGTTAGCATTTCCTTAGTGCCGCACTAGCTGAAATATTTCCGTTGGAGCCCGGCAATGGGAATTGAACCAGTCATTTTGTGACACTGGGTCATAGTTGACACATCATATACTCAGCATCTCATCCCCAATTCCAACCCTCCCTGTGCAGGCTGAATCGGACAGCTCATACTCAATCTGATGGGATTTATCCAAGGATTCTATGGGAAGCAAGGGAAGAGATCGCAGGGCCTTTGGCGATGATCTTTTCGTCCTCGCTGTCCTCGGGTATAGTGCCGGAAGATTGGAGAGAGGCAAACGTCATTCCCTTGTTCAAAAAAGAGAATAGGGATAACCCCGGAAATTACAGGCCAGTTAGTCTTACGTCAGTGGTGGGCAAATTATTGGAAAGGGCTCTGAGAGATAGGATTTATGATCACTTGGAAAGGCACAGTTTGATTTGTGATAGTCAGCACGGATTTGTGAGGGGTAGATCATGCCTCACAAACCTTATTGAATTGTTTGAAGAGGTGACCAAACACGTGGATGAAGGTAGAGCAGTGGATGTGGCATACATGGATTTAAGTAAGATAGGTGGATGTCAAAGTTTTGATAAGGTTCCCCATGGTAGGCTCATGCAGAAGGTAAGGAGGCATGGGATAGGGGGAAATGCGGCAGATTGGATTCAGAATTGGCTGACCCTTAGAAGACAAAGGGTGGTAGTGGACGGAAAATATTCAACATGGTGCTCAGTTATGAGTGGTGTACCACAAGGATCTGTCCTGGGTCCTCTTCTATTTGTGATTTTTGTAAATGATTTGGATGAAGGAGTGGAAGGGTGGATTAGCAAGTTTGCAGACGATATGAAGGTGGGTCATGTTGTGGACAGTGCGGAGGGCTGTTCTAAGTTACAAAGGGAAATTGATAGGATGCAGAGCTGGGCTGAGAAGTGGCAGATGGAGTTTAACCCTGAAAAGTGTGAGGTGATTCATTTTGGAAGGACAAACTTGAAAGCAGAATACAGGGTTAACGGAAAGATTCTTGGCAGTGTGGAGGAGCAGAGGGATCTTGGGGTTCATGTTCACAGTTCCCTGAAAGCTGCCACCCAGGTGGATAGAGTTGTTAAGAAGGCGTATGGTGTGTTAGCTTTCATTAATAGAGGGATCGAGTTCAAGAGCCGTGAAGTTATGCTCTAGCTATACAAAAACCTGGTTCGGCCACATCTGGAGTATTGTGTCCAGTTCTGGTCGCCACATTACAGGAAAGATGTGGAGGTGTTGGAAAAGGTGCAGAGATTTACCAGGATGTTGCCTGGAATGGAGGGGTCTTCCGAGGAAAGGTTGAGAGAGCTAGGGCTTTTCTCTTTAGAACGACGAAGGATGAGAGGTGACTTGATAGAGGTGTACAAAATGATCAGAGGTATAGATAGACTAGACAGCCAGAGACTTTTTCCTAGGGTGGAGGTAGCTATTACGAGGGGACATAGTTTTAAAGTGAAAGGAGGTAGATAAAGGGGAGACGTCAGATGTAGGTTCTTTACTCAGAGAGCGGTAGGGGCGTGGAATGCATTGCCAGAGAGGGTAGTGGAGTCGGCCTCATTAGGGGCATTTAAGTGGCTGTTAGATAGGCATATGGATGATAGTATAAGGTAGGGGGTGGAGGCTAGATAGACCTTAGGATTAGGGTAAAAGTTCGGCACAATATCGTGGGCCGAAGGGCCTGTACTGTTCTATGTTCTATGTTCTAACTCAATGTCCTTCCAGCCTTCCCGGTCAAAATGTCCAGTCATGTCCTCCTCTGTACTGCTGACAACCCCACAAAGAGGGTGAGAACGCTAAACAGTTTATAAGTTGGTATCAGCCTCTGAAAGCTATTGGTATCCAATTCATTTTGAAATGTAGAAGTTTCCAACAATGATTTGCAACAGGATACTCTATCACGGCAATTTATTGAAACACATGGCTCTAATTCAGCAGATTGGCACAATCAGCTTGATGCTACAGCGATTCCATTTTCACTAGAAACATGTGAACTTGGAGTGTAAACTTGTGACTGGTCAATGTGA